TTCTCAGCAGCGTGAGGCCCGGCCCGCCCCACCCCTCACCTATCTTCATCTTCTTGAGGGAGGGATCGGTGTCGTCCCGCGGGCGCTTGCGCGCCTCCTTCAGGTTGGGCATGCTGCGGGCGATCTCGGCCTGCTGCGTGCCCAGGTCCACCAGCAGCGTGGTGATCTGCGCCTGGAACTCGAAGGACGAGGGGTGCTTGAGCACGCTCAGCAAGTGCAGCTTCAGGTTCTTGCGCACGCTGCTCACCTGGGACTTGGCCAGGGTCGGGCGCTTGCGCGCCTCCTTCAGGTTGGGCATGCTGCGGGCGATCTCGGCCTGCTGCGTGCCCAGGTCCACCAGCAGCGTGGTGATCTGCGCCTGGAACTCGAAGGACGAGGGGTGCTTGAGCACGCTCAGCAAGTGCAGCTTCAGGTTCTTGCGCACGCTGCTCACCTGGGACTTGGCCAGGGTCGGGCGCTTGCGCGCCTCCTTCAGGTTGGGCATGCTGCGGGCGATCTCGGCCTGCTGCGTGCCCAGGTCCACCAGCAGCGTGGTGATCTGCGCCTGGAACTCGAAGGACGAGGGGTGCTTGAGCACGCTCAGCAAGTGCAGCTTCAGGTTCTTGCGCACGCTGCTCACCTGGGACTTGGCCAGGGTCGGCGGCAGGTTGGCTGGGGGAGGGCGACACGGAAAGGGGGTCAGGTGTGCGGAAGGGACCCGCTGTAGAGAGGGAGGCTTGGGGGTAAGCCTGGGGTCTGGCTCTGGGCAGGGAGGGGCGGAGGGGCCAGGAGGGGCGGAGGGGCCAGGCTCCAGGGTTCTACCCCCTGCTCCGAGCAGGGAGTGGGATGCAGGGCAAGGAAGGAGGCTGAGGAGCTGGACTCCTGGGTTCTACCCCCGGCTCCAAGCAGGGAGTGGGGTGCAGGGCGAGGAAGGGGGCTGAGGGGCCAGACTCCTGGGTTCTATTCTCAGCTCAGGCCAGGGAGTGGGGTGCAGGGCGAGGAAGGAGTCTGAGGGGCCGGACTCCTGGGTTCTACCCCGGCTCTGGTCAGGGAGTGGGGCCCCGAGGTGGAACCGGGGGGCAGCACTTACCGTGCAGCGTCTCGTAGGCCTGGATCACCTCGGCCATGAACATGGGCCGCTGGCGGGCGAGGCTGGCCCGGGGACCCCCCGGCGGCCC